TTACTACGGAAAACTGTGGTGTCCAGGAAATCAATGCCATCATGTGCCAGTTCATGCGCAAACTCGAGGGCCGAACACTTATTAATCCTGTCTAAAGCGCGCTGAACTTGACCTTCGCAACCATGCAATGAAACAAAAATGTCACTGATAAAGCGTCTATAAACCTGAACCTCTAAACCATCCCCCTCTAAGATCGGCAAAATGTACCGATTCTCCAAATACAGCATAACAATGTCGGCATAGACCACTGCTGCAGGCGAACCCATGGCAGTCCCTTGGATCTGCGGAAACAAATCGTTATCTTACACGAACCCGTTAGTCTTCCGAATGACTGACATCAAGGAAGTCACTGCTGTTGTTAACCGTGTACGAAGGGCCGGGGGCATCCACCTTGTATACCTGTGTGTGATATACCACGACAATGCCACGTGACCGAGCTCGTTGGGGATGCTGGTGTAAAGGCTGGTCACATCTATACTAAAAATAAATGATCGTCCCGCACAGGCAAACCTTCTACCAAGTTGATGAAATCCGTAGTTCAGGCCAGAACAGTACTTTCCTCACGTACATACAGGTTCAGTAGAAAGTCAATGAACTTAGTGGGATAGTAGCCAGGACTATTCAGACTAACAATAGGCCTAACCTTCAGGGCACAGGGCTTATGTGTTTTGATAAGTCTCCTGAAAACGGGCATACGCCCCCGGTGCGACTAAGAACAGTGACATATAAAATGGTCATACGATGCCCGATGCGATGCCTAGTCATGGTGAGTAAACAATTGACTCGGGTCGCAAACACGAAGTCTCAACACAGCCTTGAGCCTGTTGGTTGCCATCGGCAGTCTAGCCACATGTTCATCTAGCCCCTCAGGAAAAAAAACAGTCATTTATAATGTTGGGCATTGTGATGCTGGGCACGACCTATGTCATCATAGTGAGATCCGTCCAGGACTACTATCACAATAGACTGCCTTTGAATATGCCCGAGTCTGATCGCGTTCTAATTCCCAAACTATGTGCTGCATGTGTACACTCCGCCTATGGTTAGTCTACTCCAGAACAACGCCTGGAGAGGTTCATTGGGGGCATGATGTCCCCCACCCCATCCCCCTTGCCCCCTGCACCTGAAGTACCGGTATTGCCCCTCCCCCCCCCCCCCCCAAATAAAGTACAGGACACAGATGGAGCACTGGGGAGCACGTAGCAGTAGGCAAGTTGACGATGCCAGTGCAGACACACCTCACCTCGGTCACCACACTGGCACAGTCATATGGTCTCTAAGGAACATAGCTACCAGAGAACACACAGAATGGGAGTATATAGTGCTATCCCGGAGGATAGACAACCTCCTATACAAAAATATCTACTGATAGAGTTCTGTGTAGACCCTATGTGCACATATGTGTGGATGAGTACTGGTAAACGGACAGCTAACCCTAGTCTAAGTAAAATAAATGTAGAATGTAGACCCTGGGCAAAAAAATAAGTAAATAAAAATAATAGCAACACATGAGGGAACTCGGATGGAGAGCCAAGGATTAAAATTAAAAAAGAGGACCATAAGTTTACGAGGTATCCGTTTTTTCCAACACTAACGGGTATAAACGTGATGCAGGTAAGCATCAGGTCGTTGAATGTCATGATCTCATCAGTCAGTTTTTGTGCTGATTGTTGCACATTTTTGACTCAACAGTATTCTGCATATAACCGTTAGTGTTGGACAAAACGGATAACTTGTAAACATGAGGGAACACTCATCCTTACCCAAGTCCCAACGTCAGCACTCGGCGCCGCTCCGAACCAAGTGGAACATTGGAGAGATCGTCCATCAGCTCCTCTCTCGTCCTGCGATCAAATCGCCTAATGCTAAAACACAAGAAGATAGGAAAGGCAAGTAGAATAAATAAATCAATAAAATAATAAACAACAATACAAGTTTGAACAGCTGCAAACGTAATGGACGATCCGAACAAGACCAATGATATACCTAGAAATTCTAGAAGGCACTAGGAAACATCCATACCTGCTCAAACTGAAGAGGACAACATAGAAAAAGGTAAAAGAGGGCACTACTCAAGTGTTCCTGGGATAGCTATGGTCTTTGCTATGCTATTGATTTGCAGTCTGATTCATCTGAAAAACGAAGTTTCAACTTTCAAGCATTTAATTTACAGTCCTACCCTCGTTAGTATGACATCGGTTGCAAGACAAACCTCATTAGCAGACAACGATCCAAAATCCCATGAATCATTAGCAGTCGTACATGCAAGTCCGGATAAGAGATTATTCGTTTGTAGACCAAATTCGTTATAACGTCCCCTCCAGCTGTCCTACAGGTTTGAATTCTCATTACAAGAAAAAGCGGATGGCCGAGGATAGCTCGATTGATATTTCATGTTGTCTTGTATCGGGGTCCGATGAAACATTGTCTGATAATGGGTTGTCTTGTACAGGGGTCTGGTGGAAAACACTGTCTAATAACAAGGAACCATCAGTTCTGATGTGGACACAATATGGATGATGCAAAGCAGCAGAAAAATGTACTCGTTATCAGACAAAAAAAGTTGATACCCCCAGGGTTGTCTCCTAACAAGGGTAGACCTACGAAATAGTGGTTGCGACTTCGGCGAAGATTGTTAGGAAAGGGTTTGCTTTCGACACTGGAGCTCACGCTATTCCGCCGCCTTGACTTTACACTTGACTGACTGACAGCTGCCACCCAGAGCACACGAAAAGTCCATCCAACCTTCCACTCGGAAAACCTGCAAGAAGGGACCACTCCCTGCTCAATACACAGTGTTTCGGGAAAATTTACCCTCGTCAGTCGAGTTTGAGTAGGCTGAGGAAGATTGTGCCTGAGAAGCACCATTTATATAGTGCTCTCCAGGTCCAAACATCACCAGGGATACAAACTTACAGAGACGCTCCGTTTGCAGCGCGACAAACACCTCGTGAGCACCAGTTAGCAGTGCGAGTCAGTGTCGCTCATGGACAGTGAAAGCTGTATATTGACACAGAGAGAGAGAGCGGGGTAAAGAGAGAGAGAGAGAGAGAGAGAGAGAGAGAGAGAGAGAGAGAGAGAGAGAGAGAGAGAGAGAGAGAGAGAGAGAGAGAGAGAGAGAGAGAGAGAGAGAGAGAGAGACAGAGACAGAGAGAGGGAGAGAGAGAGAGAGAGAGGGAGAGAGACACACACACACACACACACACAAACACACAGAGACAGACAGACAGACAGACAGACAGACAGACAGACAGACAGACAGACAGACAGAAGGAGAAAAGACAGAGATCCGGGATGTAACATCATCATGACATCGGCCGTTGCTGTGTATGTTGGATCCAAGGTAACGAAAAGACGACACATGGGCAATCTCCATGGTTCGAGTCGCGAGCGGCTCTAGATCGTCGTTAGAGGTGGGGGCCAGAAACCATGATTTTGGTTTGGGTGGGGGGCACACGCACACACACACACACGCACGCACGCACACACACACACACACACACACACACACACACACACATGCACACACACACACATATACACATACATACATACACACACACACACACACACACACACACACACACACACACACATGCACACACACACACATATACACATACATACATACACACACACACACACACACACACACACACACACACACACACACACACACCTTCCTTCCTTCCTTCTTCCACTGCCATGACTGGCTATGTGGCCCCATACGGGGCAGACCAGGAGACGTGTTGTCCACCGGGCGGGGAACGCCATACTCAGCGCGCGCGGGCCGCGCGAACAGCGTTACACTTGTGCGTCGCAATATCCTGTGGCCGACGAAAACTGCGCGCACAAGTGCCACAAATGAGGGGCTTCGCCACAGGCTCCATGCGGGACTGGACAATAGCGTCGACAGCGTCACGGCAGGTGACCCGCCATCCCTGTCGATCTTGGACGATGTCACCAAGCTGCTCCAGAGGAACGCCAACACACACACACACACACACACACACACAGACACACACGGACACACACACATACACACATACTTTGTACCATGTATATGCCCGTCACAAGAAAAGCACGCAAAGTTGTGGAAGTCAGGTCTCGCTGGACCAACCAGAATGGAGCTGCTACGGGCCTGAGCACGCAGCTTCCCCCAAGTTGCAGAAGGCAATGCAGTGCTGCAAGTGGCAGGCAATCCTACGTGAAAAATTGGCACATACACCTCCATATTAATAATTCCAACGAGAGAGCTCAGTTGAAAGCTCAGGGCCCTCACTATCTTTTTTGCCTAGGTTATCATGCATTATGCGATAGGAATAAACAACAGTTTTATTCGGCTGAAATAAAGGATACCAATAGACCCCACTTGTACTTGGCTGAAATAAATTGTTCATCGTTGTTATATCATTTAGTTTTTCATTTCGATATCGCACAAATAAAGAGCGCTTGGGCTTGAAGGCTAGAGAGGGCTTGACCGCCCAGGAGCCCTCGCTATGCTTAATATTTGCCTAGGTCATCATGTGTGTTGTTCGAACTGATAGAAACGTCTTTGCAATACAAAAACATGTGCATGACAATCAAAACTTTAGTTCATAAACGCACATCGATACATAACTCAAAACTCAAACTCTCAGACAGGTACATTCTACCAAGTAAAAGTAAATATAATAATAGATTACGCTTTGGTACTAGCTTATTTCATTTTTTTCAAGCCCTGTTTCAACATGTGGCCAGCAGTCTTTGCCAGAATGGTACGGAACATCAACGGAATAGGGCCAGGCTGGTGCGTAACATGATGATCACACCGAACAAGTTCGAGCATGAGAGCATGTATTTTCTCCTGCTGAATGGATGCCTGTGCAGCGGTCTCTAGCTGTCAACGCGTCTTGTCACGAAGGCGGTGAGTCTCCAAACGACGGGATATTTGCTCCGTCGTTTCTTGCTGTTGGCATAGCCTTTCGCAAGCACGGCGACTCTCGAGGCGGCGGGACCTCTCTTCTCCCTTCTTCTACTCTCTGTGTAGGCACTCCTGCCGACGCCGTCTGCTCAGAGCTTTAACACTGTCACCCCTGTCATTTTGCTCCTCCTCATAGTCCTCTTCTAATTATCTCAGCATTCTATTTATACAACAACTAGGACCATTAAAACACTGCAATCTACCCGATCCTTACATTCCCAGCCCATTAGTACCACATCCCTAAACTTTCGACCGATAGTACGACACGTTCTATGGTCTTTTGAAATCAAACCGCAACCATTACAATAATGCGATCTAAACCATAATGAGCGTTAGCATGCTAACGCAAGTTAGCAGGCAGTCCAGCGAGCTGGCCCGACCTGCACGCATGCGCGAGTCACATGGTCATGCGCCCTCCAAGATCCTGTACAATGTCTCTTGCATGTCATTGCTGTTTTCGACTTTCGGGCATGCAACTTGCGGAACATGCGTTCCCAAACAATTTCCTCCACAATTGTGCTCGCCCCGGTGTATCTTGCTAAGCTCAATGTTAAAAGTGCATTCTGCCGAATTCCCGTCCGCCCGGAGGATTGGTCCTTGTCGATCCGCTGGCAGGATCAATACTTTTATGAGAGTGCCCTGCCCTTCAGACTGTATTACGCTCCAGTCCAGCTATATGGAACTCTGTCGCATCCGCCAGTGAATGGATTATGTGCTAGCAGTTCGCACTCACACGCCTATTGCATTACGGGGAATACCTCAACTAACGTTACTTCCTCAGTGCATGCTCTGGACTTGTGTTAGCTTGCCAGCAATTCGCTATTCTGCTCCGAGCATTTACATACTTCGATGTTTCTCTGGCCCCAGCAAAAGTGGAGGGTCCAGCTCAAGTCCTGACGTTATTGGCATCATCCTATTACGGGGAGTGCCTCGACTAACGTTTCTGTCTCCATGCCTGCTCTGAACTTGTGTTAGCTCGCCAGCAACTCGCTACTCGGCGCCGCGCGTTTACATACCTCGGTGTTTTCTCTGGCGTCAGCGAAAGTGGAGGGTCCAGCCCACGTCCTGATGTTTATCGGCGTCATCCTGGACACCCGCCGCGCTAACATCAGTATGCCTATGGACGAACTTGCCGAGCTTCGTGATCTCCTTCGGGCCACTCTTCACACAGCTTCAACTACCCAATGTCAACTCGAGTCTCTTCTGGGAAAGCTCCCGTTTGCTACAAGAGTGATAGCCCCTGGATGCAAATTGCAGATTGTGGTCACTTGCCAACTGGTACCGGCAGCCGTGTTACCTGATCAAGCTCTCCAAAGAGTGCCTCAAAGATCTTTGCTGATGGCCTGAGCTCCTGGATTAGCGGAACGGCCGGTCCTTCTTCCTATACCCTAAATGGACGCCGTCCCCCGACTTGCTGGTATTCACTGATGCAAGTGGTGCACTTGGCCGGTGCTCGTACAATTTCGACCGGGGATAGGGCGATGGACAGTCAATCAAGCAGAGCAGCAATCGCAAAGGGTTGTTTGCAATTGTGGCAGCCCGCAGCACCTGGGAAAACTAGCGGCATCAGCTGCGAATGCCAATCGATGGGCATTTACAGCAACTGCGAGGATATTGCTCATCAGTTGTGGCTTTGGCCTGGCGTTGTACACCGGCCACTCGTTTCGAATCAGCTGCGGGACTCGATATTCAGAGAGGCGGGAAGGTGGAAAGCGATGTCTGCCCGAGTAACATTCGGACGCCACCTGCAGCCAAAGTATGGGTGGCTGCGGCAATGGCCTCAGCCCATGATATCAAGTTCTGACAGTCTTTACCTAGCTTGCACCGCTTACAGATTGCACGGGTAGCTGCACTTTGTGATCCGCTCCGGGAGTGCCGATTTATGGAATATATGCTCTCAACTGGTTATGCTTACCAATATATTTAGCATTTGGAGGCTCTACTCAGAGTCATTGGCGGCTCCATGCGGAGTCATTGGCGGCTCCATGCGGAGTCATTGGCGGCTCCATGCGGAGTCAATTTGGGGCTCCATGCGGGGTCATTCGGCGGCTCCATGCGGGGTCATTCGGCGGCTCCATGCAGAGTCATTCGGCGGCTCCATGCGAAGTCATTCGGTGGCCCCATGCGGAGTCATTTGCCGGCTCCAAGCAGAGTCATTTGCCGGCTCAGCTGCGAGCCATCTAGTGGCTCCAAGCAGAGCCATCATACCAGTTGCTCGAATCGGCACTCCCAGCTTAATCCAAAACTCGGTTGCTCTGTTGTGAGGTGGGGGGATGCTAACCTAGGAATGGGTTTGCTCCCCACACTGGAGCTAGCGCTATTCCGTCGACTTGACACTTGACAGACTCACGACTGCCATCCAGAGTCGCCACCACTATTTCTAAACCATACGGCTAATTATTTTAGTTAGCTATCCACTTACCGGTACAGTAAAACCTGTGACTACCGACCACCCCTTGGTGCCAGCAAAAGCGGTCTTTAGTAGCAGGTGGTCTTTAGTTAGAGGTTTGCACCGCGTGACCATATGTGGATCCCATTATATGATATGTATGTCAAAATGCAGCTAATACGATTCCCCAGGACTTGCGCAATGTCAGAAAGACGGAGAGATGGAGAGAGAGAGAGAGAGAGAGAGAGAGAGAGAGAGAAGATTAATTTTTTGCAGACTTCAAATTCAGCTGCTACTTCTGAAGCCAGGAGTCAAAATCCCTGGGGAAGTTTCGTTTCGCGCTGGGCTTCAAATTTGTTCATGCGATCAATCATACCGACTGTCCTTGTTGTGACTTCTGGATTGCTTGAACGCGATCCTTCAGCATCAGGACCTTGTGGTGCTGCTTTGTTTCTGGATTCCTTGATGCCATCGTCAATCCGTCTGTATGACTGGTGTGACAGAGCCGCCCAGTCTTCGTTTCTCCTCCGAGTAGTAACATCGACCAGAGAGCGCTTTCGATGCGCTCTCCAAGACGTTTCCTATCATGTTTTTTCTTGACAGCGCTTGAAATTTTGACAGGTGTAGTGCAGTCCACACCGACTCCACAGCCAAAATTACCTGCATTCATTTGTTCAGCTGTAGTATCGAAAGATTCTTTTCAGGACCATGGAAAATCAGTAAAATTTCAAGAAGGAGCTTCGAGCAACATTTGATTTCCTACATCGCGGTCGCTAGTTACGGGTCAAAAATTGTGTTTGGGACAGGAAAAGGCGGTCGCTGGTCGCGTTCAGAAGGTAGTCGCTAGTCACAGTGCATTTTGAATGTGAGACCTTCCGTGCCTGGCGAAGTGGTCGGTAGTACCAGGCTGGTCGCTAGTGACGGCGGTCTTTAGTTACAGGTTTTACTGTATATCCCTTACCGAAATTGTATTCTTGAACGCAATATTCTTCTTTCTTTTTCTTCTACTCCGTTCCATCAGCACTCGGCCGATAGCAGGAGATTGGTACCCACTGGGCTAGCATGCAGCAGCCAAAGCTGGGGCCTTTTCTTACTCCGTCAAACCCACTTCTTAAAACGAAACTGACGTGCATATTCACATTGCATGTTGTGAATGTCCCCATATTTGCCCCGACATCTTAGCTCGTACAGCGCTCCAGATACATCTATGCTACGGTGCGCACCGCATACTCGAATTACGGTACGGGACACATACGGGATACTGCACCAACCATGGCATGCCACGTGAACCACCCTACCAGACACCGTGACACGCACCGAATTACAGCGGTGTGGATACTGGCTAGCGCCAGATGCTACTAAAGTACAACTGAATAGCGTCTTTTGCATAGCTACGGGAATAATCTCATATCCCAAGTATTGCAGCTCTGCTAATAGAATAATTCTGGTTACTCCCACTCCATTTCTCTAGTGCTTATTTTTCTGAAAAAATATCATCTTTGGCACCAGAATGCTGCCACCAAGAGTACATTAACCAGAGTGTGCAGCCCAAAGAGAATCATCCCACGGCAAAGTTTATTGTTTAGGGTAGGGGTCAAACGGGTGTTCCGGGTACCTGGGTACCCGCCCGTTAATCTCAGGTACCGTTAGTAAAAGGGTACCCGTTTGTAAAAAAAAAAAAAAAAAGTTGGATTTCGATGATCCTATCGTATGCCAAGACTCAAAATAGGAGTGCGGATACTCTTTTCCTTTTCCTGTGCATTCCCGCTTTCGACTTTGTCAGGCAGGAGCAGGCTGAAAGACAGCCGTTCTCTCCACTCTAGTCCAAGTAAAAATCCTCGTACTGGAGGTTTTTGATTGTAATATGAGAAAATGCAAGACTTGAAACCGAGTCGTTCGAGGTGGCAGCTCAGTTACTAGAAAGTTACGATGGTTCTCCGACATCGACATCGAACCTGCCACAGTACTTGAAAATGAACTAGTGTCACCAGGCTGAGTGACCAGTCGGAGTGTCACACACGGCGATGTTCGTAGGTGGTAGCTATGATACTCATGGTTGTAGTTTGTTCCTTCAATCGACGAACTCGGTTTAGTTGAAAAGTTGTTCAAAATATTGCATACAAGATTACAGATTTGTGAAGATTCGTTTCACGAGTTCAACGAGCTAGCACTAGCAGCTAGCTGGCCAGCAGCACATCAGCTGTGTCAGGCACCCCAGCTAGCAATGGGTGCAAACATCTTCTGAATGGGAAGAGTACCAGTTCTCTGCGAACATAGCAAATAGGATTGGGCGAGATCACGGGAGTTTTGCTAAACTATTCTGTCCTTGCATGGCTTGAATCACATCGATCTGCAGTTGATTTGCGTACATGTATCAAAATACATGTAGCACTAGGACCATGTACGATTGTAACTGCCTGTGAAGTTATGTTTATGGGCAAATGTACGGATGACATTAATTTGGAACCTTCATTGCCATAATATTATCATGAGACACGAATAAATAGAATGCGAATCATAATGTGGTATCAAAATACAACCTGAGAATATACAAATTTAAAAATCATGATTTATGTGATAAATGCACACAAAAATAATATGGCTGCTAAAGGGTACCCGTTAACCCGCCCGTTAAGAAAATTACCCGTTCGTTAGTTAAAGGTACACCCGTTTGAGCCGTAGTTTAGGGCATAGACTCGCAGTAACAGGCTCACCTTTGCTGCATCACACACCGCTTCACACGGTCATCTACTCTATCACCATGGTAATTTCTGTTGCACATTGCTGCTTGTTAAACAAAAACGTAGAAAACACACCGAATTTCCAGGTAATTACCATGGTGATACGGTACTTTAGCTTGAACCTATTGTATGACGGGTTTTCTATGATTGATAATGACCCAGAGAGAAACTAAACCGGTATCGAATTCCAGTCAGCGACGCAATTCTTCTGAGGTGTAAAGTGACTTCAGGAATATGTTGCAGAAAACTGCGATGCATGCTGATTATTTACTGTGCCCTATTGTGCACAATATACCAGGTGTGTTACTCAGGGATGAAGTAGATGCACACACGTGCCGGGCATCACGGCACAGGTTAGGTTTGCTACTAGCCGCTGCAGTGTACTTGTGGTCCGAACTTGCACTCTACTCAACTCTGCATACGCAAAGAGTGCTGGTGCCGAAATGAACCAGAAGGGTCACGCGGCTGAGTGGGACGCAACAACACTGACTCTGTCTACCCATGTACACAGATATGATAGGGTATGCAGTACCTGCTCTAAGATTTAACACAAACCGGGTACACGTCTACCTGGCACAATTCCTGCAACACTGGGCCAGAGCCAGATGCGTTCAAGTGCGGCTACTGTGTGTCAGGGAGTCGTAAACTTACTTTCGACTTCCTGATGTACATGATTGTACATGTACATGTATGAACGTACTCGCACTGGGCACTCTGGCCGCACGCATCTGCACGCGTATGCAGCCTGTCAGTGGCGGTATACCCTCGAACGGTATAAAAAAGTATAGTACTCGACAGGACTTCCGACCGGGTCGCAGGTAACCCAGTGTTCTTTTTCCAAAAGGTCCAAGTACTCACAAACAGGGCCACTGACCCGGCTCTGGAGCAGACACTGGTAATCTAGGTCCAAGTTTGCTCGATTATGTTCTGACGCTTCATGTGCTTTCATAGCCAAGGTTTCTCACTTTCTTCGCAAGCTCTTTTAGTCTTGAGAGTTGACAACTGCTTATGGTTGTGTTGGCAGAAAACATGTCAGCTAATCTGACAACCGTCCAACCCCATTTTACTGGTAAGTAGTCAGCGAGTGGCTTTGATGGAGCCATACAGTACTAGAGGGGAAGTTACGCGGCATATTTGTGCTTCCTTTTTGAAAACACGTTCTCGCTCGAAGGGTTTCTAAACTTTATCCCTGCGCTCATTGATGGAGTTCATCGATGGAGTTGCCAGCGGCACTCTACAGAAGAACAATGTTGTCAAGTTTTTTATGAAAAATTGTCAAACATTTTCAAATTGCTATAAGTTTGGTTAGGGCCGGGTTCCACTGCGGCTCCGCAGCTCCGCTGCTCCACGGTACTTGGCTGCATGCAGCAGAGCGGCGCGGTTCCAGTGACACTCGCCATTCACGGTACCGCGATCGTGCTCGACGTTTTTTTTATGACATTTAGCCTGCCTGCGCGCGCGTGAAATCCAAAAAAAATCCTCGTATTCTGGCCTGTGCAACGAATTAAAATTCCCCCGAATAAAACAATTAAGTGCGGGAAACAATGCAAGCCGTGACCGCGGCTTGCATTTTTTTGTATCAAGCAGCGAAGCGAAAGCTGGTGATGAGCCGCGGCCTCGCTGGACCAGCTCGTAATGATGACGTTTCATGCCGTGGATGATGTGCGGCGGAGCGGCAGTGGAACCCAGCCCTTAGGCAAAGGAAATTTGTCATTTATTTGTTTATGCTGCATAGATGGAGAGCTGCACACTCTGGCTTATGGACTCTCGCCTACAGTGTAGTCGTACTGCTAGTGTACTGGCATTACAGAAGACACGAAAAACGAGAACATAATTATGGCGAGAAAGTAATTACTGGCTAAGAATTGCCCTAAGACTTACCGCTTCTCAGTGCTCCATACCAGGAAGTAGTACACTACCTACTCCCTGCTCCATACGAGTGTTCTCTCCTCATTCTCTGCATCCTTTACCTCAGGAGTCTCGTCCATTTAGCGGCTCAAATGCTTGAGCTCCGGATAGCGGAAAATAGCTCGTCGTCCATTAGCGGCTCTAATAGTACCTGGTCTGAAGTGTCGCAGTCTAGCACAACTATGATTTTTTCCAGGAGGGTAAGGGTTGCAAACCCAAAGAGACCCTAAGCTTCGTCTATCAAACAAAACAATTGCCCTAAAAAATGGAAGAGGAAAAGAGTGAGCGAGCTGGTCTGAGCGCGCTACTTTTCAAAAAATAGAAGCTGAAAGCCATCAAAGTCAAAGCATTCTGGCTAGCGCGTTTGTGTATGTCACGAGCGCTAGCGCGCTAGTCGCAGCAAACGCTCGCAGGCCAGAGTTAGCGCTATTTGGGCTGTTTGCCGCACGCGGCAGCTGGATGGATCACGTGATCCAAGCTGACAAATAAGGTCCGATGGTTCAGCTACATTGAGCCACAAGCCATGGAAACACGTGAAAGTAAGTCCAAAAAATCAGGTTTTTGAGCCACGTATTGGGCTGCACGGCGGCGGGCGAAGCCCGCCGCCGTGCAGCAGGACTTTTGCCAGCACCCTCGTGACGTTGCAGATATGTGGCTTGATTATTGTAGTTGACGTTGATTTAGTGACTTTGGCAAGTTTGAGTCGTGTCAAGAAGTCAGGTAGGATTCAGTACAGGGCAGTAGTGAAATGTGAGTGGTAGTCTTTGCCGGTTTCCGAGGGTATCCTGGATTTGGTGTGCAGCGCTGTGGAAATGGCTTGCTGTGGAGGTCCCAGCACTGGATGTTGTATCAAAGGTACGACCTCGTAGCACGTGCTAAACCTAAAAAAATTCAAAAATTGACTTGGGTCTGTGGGAGTGTGTGAGAGAACGCCCACTCGTTCCGTTGTGACAGATTCCAGGGCCTCGTTGAGGGGCCCTACCCCATCACCCATGGCTGCTTCTGGACTTGTTCTAGGTTTGAGTCCCGCGCACGAACAGAATGAGCACGAAAATGTGAAAAAATTGTAAATGCATTTGTTTGGCTCCTGGGTTGCTCGCACACCGTGGCACTATGCCGGAAATTTGAGTTTTTCCGGCCTGGAAAGCCTGTCAGTGAGGCGCAAGAACTTGTAAATCATGTCCTGAGGGCCAGCATAGTGGCAGGAGTGTGTGGTCAAAATTTCACTCAAATCCATTGAGAAACACCAAAGTTACGGTCAATTGAATGCCATATGAAATTTATGGGTAGGCTGCCCCCTTAACACACTGCCTATCAGAGAACACGGATATCATCTGTCGAAGGGAGATTTCAGGGATGGGGTGGCGTTGCGGTATGACTGGGCATTCGTTGATGTGCCTACTACCTACTCTTGTGGCCAACCGTTTAGTCCAGCCCATGCCATGTGTTGCCCTACTGGTGGTTTCCCCACCATTCGGCACCATGAAGTTCGCGATATTCTTGCCGGCTTACTTACCGAGGTTTGCTCGGATGTCGCTGTCGAGCCTCAGCTTGCTCCGGTTTCGGGAGAGGTGTTTCTGGCAGCCTCAACTAACACGGCCAACGATGCTCGCGCTGATATCCGGGCTCGAGGGCTGTGAACCAGGGCACAGAATGCTTTCCTGGATGTCCGGGTTTTCATCCCGATGCTCCGTCCTATGCCACCAAACCTCTCGACAAACTGTTGGCGGAGCATGAGAGGAAGAAGAAGCTTGAGTATGTGGACCGTGGGACTGTGATGATATTGGAACTATATCATTTGGTGCCATTAAATATCCCTATACATATACATATACAGTAACTATAACCTTCACATCCTCATATTTACACCTGTCCATATATGACATTAGAATAGCATGCTGCGTACTACTTCCCGTACTACCGGTACCTTTTCTAGTACTCACATATTGTACAACTTTACACACCAAGATAAAATAACAAGGATGACAGCCCTTCAGGGTTAGTTGTCGGTTAGCCGGACAAGAGTGGGTTGTTGGTGTGTCCTCCCCTAGGCCCTTCACATGGTGTCAGAAGTGGTCCAGTCACTGTGTGTCAGTACTGCGTACCTCCGTCGTTGCTGAAAGTTTGCGTATTTTTATTTCTAGTTTTTCGTTTTTTCGAGTTCGTGGGGCCGCAAGTGAGCTGGCATGGATCTCGAGTCGTTGGCGTTTGCTCGCCACGAGCAGTTGAGGGACATCTGCCGGGGGCTGCATCTCCCCACCGGTGGTGCACGCTCTGATCTTGTGCGGCGGATCCTCTCCGTATCGCACAGCAGTGCGCGGATGGATCGGGAGATCGACACTGAGTTCGAGGAGGTGGCCCCGGATGATGACGAGCTCACTGGCTTACCTGATGCTGCTACCAGGTCGACGCTCCCTTCTCCACCGATGGATTTGTTTCGTCCCGCACCGTCTCCGAAACCTCGCTTGCCGAAAGTAAGTGATAATCCTTATTTCGGCAACAGTATTGTGAGCAACAAATTAGATTACAACAGTGAGCAGTCCTTTGCAATGAACCAGTCGCAGTTTCAGGCCAATCAGGGTTCTGCTCCTACTACTAGTACTAGTCCTAGTACTTACCATACGCACGACGCACCTGCACTGGCTTCCGCTAGCCGTCGTACTCGTACTGGGCGTACACATAGCCATACTAAGGTTGCATGCTCTACTCCGGAGCCAAAAGCGGTCCACGTCCACCGTCAGCCCGTAGGTCTACATGTCGCTTTTGGTGAGGATCCCGTGTATGGAGACCCGGCCTAGGCCTAGTAGTACGCACGAACTGAGTGATCAGGCGCAGGCCAGCACTAGTCGTACACGTACACCCGCAGCGCAGGTCCGCACGCCCCGCACGTGCACATCGATCCTGCTGCTGAGAACCCTGAGCCTGAGGCTGAGGCTGAACACGAACAGCGTTCCGCCACCGATGTCGATGTCGATGTCGACTCGCCGTCCCAGCTGTCGATGCTCACGCAGTTGGTCACGCAAATGGCGCAAGTGCAACTCACTCAGGCCACACGGCGATTCTCTCAGAAGGTGCCACTGGCTAAACTGCGCCCTGGGGACGATGTTGAGGCATTCCTCACCAGTTTCGAACGATCCATGCGGGCGTACAGAGTTCCTCCGGACGATTGGGTCTATTTGCTAAGCCCCCAGCTGACTGACAAGGCCTTGTTGGCATACACGGAACTTGCCTCCACTGAGGCTGACAGCTACGACCGCGTGAAGGAGGCCATTCTCCATCGCTATGCCGTTACCCCCGAAACGAGCCGCCGTAAATTTCGGGGCACTACGCTGCAGAGCTCGGAGTCCATGATTGACTTCGCCGTCCGTGTCCGTGACACTGGCAGTCGTTGGCTAAGCCCCGCATCCTCGCGCGAAGCCATATGTGAGTTGATCCTACTGGAACAGTTCTTGTCTGCGCTTCCTTTTGGTTTACGCACTTGGCTGCGGGAACGCAAACCGTCGTCCCTCGACCAGGCTGCTTCGCTAGCGCAGGACTATCTTGACGCACGGGATCGCGTACAGGAGCCCAGCAGTGGTCGTCTCAGCAGCGGCAGGGAACAGTCTCTTGTCTGCCACATTTGCCAGCAGCGTGGCCACATGGCCAGGGATTGTTCTAAGCGACGGGCACCATTGCCGAACACTGACGCACGTGCCCAGGTGCAGGGGTCATTTGCGTCACCCCCAGACCGGACGTCCGAGTCATCCAACCTTGCTCGAGTTCGCTGGGCTGCACCAACCTCAGGCTCAGCGCGGGACCGGCCAGTATCTTCCCCAGCTAACCCCAGTCAGACCCACTTGTCATCTGACCGCCCAGTGACTTCTCGTCCTGACCGTCCCACACCACCACCGAGACGCCCCATGTCGCAGCCGCGTTGCTATAATTGTCGTGAGCTGGGACATATTGCTATTAAGTGTCCGAATCACACTCGCACCGCTCTGTTTTCCAGCCCAGATCAGGAAGTCCAAGATGCTGGTACAGTTCATTTGCTGCCGGATGAGGATGATCTGCTGGGTGAAGCATATTTCTGCTCACCCCCTCCACCTGTAGACTCTGGTCGGTTGCCCCCCGCTAATCCCAGCGCCGCCATGGGACCAGCACCGGAGTACACCGTCGCTGGGTACGTGAATGGTACCCACGTCCCGAGCATCGTTGTTGATACCGCGTGTGGCCGCACCATGGTACACAGGACCTTGGTCCGGGACCAAGATTTGTCTGGTGAGACTACCTCCATTCGTTGTGCCCACGGTGATGTGGCCAGTTACCCCATGGCCGATCTGACCATCACCATCGACGGCATGGTGTACTATGTCAAGGCAGCAGTGTCCGAGCACCTGCCCCGTCACGTGTTGCTTGGCCGTGATGTGCCCCACATACATGAGTTGGTCCGGCTGTGTCAGCCAGCCGCCACGGACGTCTTGGTCTCTACGCGTGCACAGGCCAAGGCTTCACCTGAGTCGACTGGTGCTGCTGGTTTGCACGACATCTTCCCGTTCGAGGATGAACTGTTTGAGGAGTTGGCCTCGAATGCCGCTTCTTTGCGTGCACCGCCGGCGGACCTATCTAGCACACCGGAGGTGACACCGCCACCTATCTCTGCACCAGATTTGCCAGATGCCACCCGTTTCGCCGACGAGCAACGGCGTGACCCATCTCTTAGCCCATGTTGGGACTATGCTACTGGCCGACACAAGACGCCCGTCAATGGCAGTACCTTCTGTGTTCGCCAGGGCCTCCTCTACCGGGAATACTCACCGGATGGTGAAGCGGGGATGGATACCACCAGCCCCTACTACCGCCTTCAGTTGGTTCTGCCCACGGAACGGAGATCCACCATTCTGCACCTCGGCCACACCGTCCCCATGGCTGGCCACATGGGACAGGCGAAGACATCCCAGAGGATTCTTCTCCGTTTCTGGTGGCCGACGATTCTTCAAGATGTCGCACAGTATTGTTCCGCCTGTGAACCATGTCAGCGCACCGCCCGTGTTCTTCTTCATGATCGGGCACCACTTATTCCTCTTCCTGTTATTGGCGAGCCCTTCCGGGTGGTAGCTATCGACATTATCGGCCCATTGCAGCGTACGCAGTCCGGCAAGAAGTACATCCTCACCTTGGTGGATTATGCAACCCGCTATCCGGAGGCAGTCGCTCTTTCCAATATTGAGTCGACTACCGTGGCTGATGCGTTGATCTCCATCTTTTCCAGAGTAGGACTGCCAGACAAAATCCTCTCCGACCAAGGCTCCAACTTTACATCGGACGTCCTCCGACAAGTTGCTGCTTTACTCCGTATCCAGCTTACCACATCCACTCCGTACCATCAACAGACCAATGGCCTCGTCGAACGGTTTAATGGTACCCTCAAGGGTATGCTTCGTCGGTTTGCTGCTGATGCGCCACGAAGTTGGGACGAGGTGCTCCCATATGCTTTATTTGCGTATCGAGAGGTGCCTCAAG